GGGGGGGGTGCACCGTGGGTTGCCTACTTACAGGGTTTATTGACACAAATTGCCTACCTTTCTGGCAGCTCACGAGAGCCGATGGGGAGGTGGGGATCGTCCTTGGCTCAGCTCTACTAGCTGCATGTTTGGTTGCCTTTGGGAACCATATGGCAATTGGCTAGAAGAGTAGAGAACACTGAGCCATCACACAGTAGCTACTAGCGGCTGGTAGGCTGGCTGGTGAGATGACAGCCTGGCGCGTAGGCAACCCCGCGCCTCAAGTTAAGCTTGTTGTTTGTATGAGCCCCAAGTGGGAGTCAGCAGTCTGCCTTGTCTAATTTTCTTATCATTATCTAATTATCTGTTCCCGCCAAATTAAGGAACGACATGATGTTGACATAAGCCTATCGCCACATCGCGGTTGGCCAGGAAGTCTGAGCAAGGCGGTGTAAGGCGCGCGCGGGTCAATACGAAAATAAGCGCAGTGCCAGCAGGACCCGGGTAGCCTGGCAACCAGAAAGACCAGGAATTGAATCGATGACATCCACACCACACTTGCACACAAACACGGCCTTGCTTACCTCTTAAGAGCACAATAGCTGACTGATTATGTCTGTTATTATGGAGACCGATGAGCGAACCCCGCACGGGTCAGAAACCTTTGATGTAGACGGTGAGTACATGTATGTGGTAAAGGTGCCCCCACAACTATGGAGACTAAGCAGGCGACGCACGGGCTCGGGCACCTGGCGCCTCAATCGGATCAAAAGGTGAGACGGCAACGTTGCCCCCTTACTCTAGCACTCATGCCCAACAAGGCGCTCGATAGGTAGGCAACATATCTGCACCACTTTTCACCTGTACGTTCTGTAGGCAAGAGGTCCCTTCCCCCTTATTTTCTGGAGAACTGAACTGGATCCGCTCCTGAAGGCCCCTCCGGTTACTTTACGTCCCCTGCGATAAGCGATTTACCTATCATTGTGAGGGGCACCCCATTAAAAATTGAAGTTACTTCATAGAAAAACATATGTAGGATACTAAAGCCTCCAAAATAGAGAGTAATGTAAGACCATCATCATTTTTAGGTGAGGAGAATATCGAGAATATAGAAGAAAATGAAGAAACTATTCAGAATATTTCATTGGAAAACAACGATATAGTTCAGGAGACATTTACTGAAAATGAAGAGGAACAGGTCCCTGATGAAGACTCCGGTGGAGGGGGTGATACCACGAGGGGTGATGGAGATAAGATGGAAGAGGAGGAAAAGTTGCAGTCAATCACAAAAGAAGACGTTGAACAGAAAGAACAAAAAAACGCTTCAGTTGGTTCGGTTTTGGAAGTGTCTAAGAAGAGTCCTGAAATACTATCAGATGATGGCCACCAATCCTTTGGGAAAGGCACAACTCCAAATTCTGAAAAGCCAGATGCAAGGTCAAGTGATAGTATGTCTTCAGGATTTTGTATTGTAACCGAGATTTTGGAGGACATTCTGGACAACGTAATTCAGATAAAAGAACAAGAAGATGTAGGAAATTTACAGCAGTATGAAGACAGAAAACCATGTAAGCTGATTTTTAGATGCTTATGCTTTTTCTTGCCTATTCCATACTTTTCTCTCTATCTGCAATGATAATCTGTTAACACACACCCATGTTCTTTTAGCAAGCATTACAACCATTAAAAGTGTGGACGTACAGGGGAGTGTTGACATAGATCCAGATTTCCAAGCCCAGCTTGCTGCAGAACAAGAAGCAGCTGCATTAAAGAGACAGCAAGTCTACCAAGAAAATATATTATTGTACCACAGTCTAGTAGCATCCAGAACAAACCTTAAGCGAAGAAATACATTCTTAATCAAGCAGATGTATGAACACTACAAAAGAAAAAAGGTGTGGAATCTTACTTTTATTTAAAGGGAAGATTACCAAAACAATGCATAAGGTTGATATTGTGATTTATGTTCTACTTTAGATAGAACATCTTTTCAAAGAAATGCCAATAGCTAATGTAGATATGGAAGGGAAATATGTTAAGGCATTGCTGGCTTATGAGGAGGCTCAAAAATATGCTAGCGATGAGGAATCAAAAATGCATAAGCTAGTCTCTACTCTTGAAGAAAAGAAAAATGCAGTAAGTTCACAATTAACAGCATTCTCAAACTTTTGGTTGATACCTCAAAACATTTATTACTTTGCAGGTAGAATCAAACCTTGAAATTGAGTGGAATAATTTGTTAAATAAGGAAAGAGAGGTAGCCAAGGGGCTACTTATTACCCAAACAACCAAGCACTTATCAGGCAAAGTAAATGCTAAGATTTTTTTTCTTTAAAATAGTCAATTATAGAACAGTTATTAATCATCTTTTGTGTAACAGAACATTGAAGATTTTATTCAAAAACAAATAGGTAAATCAAAAGAGCTCGCAAGAGAAAGGCTTGTCTACTTTAAATTGAGAAATGCTGCAGCAGCAGATGAGAATCATTTGAAGGTTTGTGTCTTTTAGTCTTTAGGACCTGCTTTTCAATATTTTAAATCCTTCTAATAAATCAATTTATAAATAATCAGTCTCTAGAAAATCTTGGTGACAATTTAACACTAATGGAATATGAGCAACTAAAAATGCACAGTCAAAGTTGTGTCGAGAGATTGGAAGAGAGAGATGCTGAATTACATCGGCTTCGCAGTAAAGCTACGTCAGCTATTCACATTCTTGCTGAAATCCGTGAAAAAACACACACTTTACTTGAAGACATAGAGACCAGCAAAGTTCATCTCCATGACATCAACCAGGAGCTCAACAGGGTGAGTGCTAGCAGTAGTGATTTTTACTCGTGCAATAAAAATCATTTCACAAAGATCACTGTAAAGTAACTTTTATCATCATGCTTTTCAGAATAGAGAGAGAGTGGGCTGTGAAAAAAAGAGGAGGGATATGAGCAGAAGTGATACTATTCGTCTGCGCCAAGAGGCAGGTCTACTTTCAGAACCAAAACTACTACAGGACTATAAAGATTCATTGTCACAAAAGGAAATATTACTGAAGCAACTGCTGGACTGGAAAAGTAGATTTGAATCTCAAAAGCAAAACATTTTAAGTTTGAGAAGAGAGTTAGCAGTGCTTCAAAAGAAGGATGTTAAGGCTGAAAGAATGAAGATGGAATCACTGTGAATCACTGCCACACAGCAGTATATTAGAAGAAATACTTAGCTGCAAGTTTTAACACAATTAACACAAAAATAAGGCTGTTGAATATTTGTACAAATTGTATGTTGAATTCCCTGGCATATGACCACACAGTATACAGATACTGTAGTGTAAAAGGCATGCCAGAACACTAACAACAAAGATTAGGAAACAATAATACTTTAATACTAGAAGTTCAGATATCACAATCATTTTCTGTACGTACAAGATGGGTCATAATTTTGTTCATCAGTGGTGTCTACACAATCATTTTGTGAAAAACAAAATAATTAAAGTCTAAGAAAAGAAACTTCACAAACATTCACAACTAATTTTAAGTACTGTATCATGTGATGCACACAAAATTTGATTGGAATGTCTCTTAAATTCATAGCGCCATGCAAAAAGCATATAGGAAATCAACCACCACAGGCTTGAATTAAAACATTAAAAATACTGAGAAACAAAGCGTGAGATAGACAGATACATACATAGATATTAAATTGATTCATTAATGAACAACTTGAAATTTGGAAGTTAAACTATAACAGAAAAAGGAAAAAAATCTGAGAACAAGTAACACAAGATGTGTTTAATGTGCCAAAACTAGCACTCATATGAAGTAGTTTCTTTGAGCATATTTATCATACTAAAAAGAAATATGATTAATGGTGAAACTATCGTTAAGTAATAAATTAAAGCTTAACACAAAAATGATTTACTACACCACTGCCTGCAGTGGATTTGAAATAGAATAACATGCTAGCTTGAACAGGTTTTCATACCATTTGGACAAGAAAATTGTTAATATAGATGCAAGTTTGTCACATAAGTACTGATGCAAGATGTGAGGCATCAGGAGCCGTTTGTTGACTTATTAATTCTTTCTATACAACATACAGTACTAATTTGTGATCACAACAAAACTCAAAGCAATGAGATTTACTTCTTCGATCTCATGGTTTGTGGACGAGCAGCAAAACACAACAAGCAAAACAGCTAAAATTTTTATGTTTATGTTGAACCAGTTCCATTTACCACTGAGTCAGAAGAAATTTGCTCAGATTTACTGGTTTTAATAAAGTTAAAGACAATTGGTCCGATTTTCTCAGGTTCGTTTAAGTGAATATGGTGGGAACCATCAACTTCCTTGTACTCAAAGCGGCAAGAAGATTTTTTGATTTCATCAAGGACCTGCGTATAATACTCTGGGCGGTCAAAACTCAGTCCTGGTACTGCTCGTATGTTCAAGTACTCGCACTTTATTTTCTTGGCATACTCCAGTACAAGGTCAAGAGTTATCAAGCCAAGTCCAGCAACCTGCAAATTTCATTAAAGTTAGAGCAATACGTTCTAATTTTAAAATTTATTACAAAGGGTCTTACTCATACCTTGAGGCGCACATCACGTGCAAACAAGAACCCCTCTTTCTTCATAATATTTTTTGAGGTGGGAGGAATTGGAGACATCCCTCGAATCATAAGAGTTTCGGCTGACTCCCGAGTAATTGCCCCTTGGTAAGCCTCAAGGACAAGCTCTATCATTTCCTCTTTGGTATAGCATGGCATGGCATCCTCTGTTAATGTCTCATATTTCAGAAACCTGCAGAAAGTAAAAGTTAGCAATTTCTTTTGGAAAAGAAAAAAGAAACAAACTAGAGCATAGAGCAGGTGTTTAGATAAAAGTTTAATAATTGTTACCTGTCAATTGATACTCCAGTAATGTTGACCACACTTTCTTTATCTCGGATAGTAGGGCTTGCTATATCAAGTGAAATTAGCTTTTCAGTATCATCAGGAAATGATGCTGCATACAAGAAGCCAACAGCACCACCCATAGAATGCCCAATGATAGTGACCTTACTCCACTTAAAATGTTTGACAATACGCCTCAGCTAATGTAACACACCAACAAAAAAATTTACTTAATAGAGTGTACTTAAGAAAGATAGAGTAAGTTTGATTCTTCATAACAGATAGTAAACCCATAGTCCTACCCACAAGTCCTTACCAACAATACTCCATCCCAAAACAAGTAGTAGAACTGTCCCTTTGGATAATGTGATGATCTGCCGTGGCCTGGAAAATCAATAGCAAGCATGGAAATGTCTTTTGGCAAGAGAGTGCCAAGCCCATCGAAAGAGCCAGCATTATCTTGCCATCCATGCAGAGCTATGACAGGTTGTCGTCCTCGTCCACCCCACCATTTGCCTGCGGACACCAAGACACCAAACAATTAAAACAAAAACAGCTGCAACAGAACAAGACCAATTCATTTATGATTTACGTACCACTGACATGACCCCAAGGGACAGGTATCGTTACTTCTTCGAACCCCACTGTTTCTGTCATGGTTCTTGAATAGTGTCCTTAGCCTGAAAATTTGCACAAAAAAATATGTTTAACACTACAGAGAAAGATAAGATGGATCGTTTTCTATTGATTAAATTAAAATATATGTAGCGTCTCCTACATTTCAACAATGCTAAATGTAGTAGAGAGCAGGTCCGTCCTGCTCAGTCCCACAGGACAGTGTAATACTAAAGAACGAAATGTTATAATAGCCATAGAATAGCAGCAAACTGCACTTAAAATACAGTAATTCAATTACCCTACCCTAGAACTCATAACACCATAGCATTACAGAAAGTCACAGAAAAATGGTCGTCTAAATTTTCATAGATTTTGCAACAGCATATTTCCGCAAACTTTCCAACTTAAGGCCACTAACTTGAAGTTGCGTAGTCACCCTTAAGCAATAAAATATATTGAGATACCGATAGAGACAAAAGTTTCCACTGACAAATGGAGGAAACTGCGGGTAATCAATAACTGGAAACAGAAATTTTCACGGACCTAACCTTGCCCCCAGCTGACGGCTTCGAGTAGTTTCAACGCTTCAGCACGACCCGGGAGGCACCTGAACGGTTAAAATATTCCGCCACACCGGCAACAGGTTGACGAACTTACCGAAAATACTAACGAATGAGAAAGACGACGTCACCGCCGTTGGAGCGGACGTTAGATTCGGCAAGTCACTTATTGCTCGCGCTATGCCGTGGTCGCGGCGCGGCGGCGGCGGGCGACTCAGCTGGGATAGGGGTAGGGTTGGGGCGGAAGGCCCTGAAGCGCCGAGCCGGGCCGACACTACATCGATAAGCCAGCCGCGGAGGGGAAGGGGGGGGGGGAGGCGCGAGCATGGCGTGAGGCAGAGCTAGAGCTGCGCTGGCGCCGAAAGTTGACGAAATATCACATTGCACGTCAAAAAAATTACGCCGAATTCTAAATTAGAAATTTCTTGAAAATTTAAAGGGATGTCGTGTGGCGCACTTCAAACTGGTATGGGGTCATGGAAAAAAACGGTACGCAAGTCGCACTTACCTGGGCACGCAGAAGGCACGGTAACAAATTGAACAAATCACAGAAACCAGAGAAGTGGGCTCAGCGGGGAGAAAGTTGGGGACCTTTGTGCCTCGTCGGGAGGGGAGAGTGTGATCCGGCCGGGTGTCAGCGTCAGCTCGTCAGCCGCGCTCGCAGCGCCCCGCGGTGCCCCCCCCCCCCTTTTCTGAACCACGTTGAGACCGCGGGACGGACTGGGCCGGCTGGGCTTGCGAGGTTCAACTCTTGCCCGATCCACGTGAGATGTCCGTGAGCCGCTGATAGCCGTGCTTCTTCATCTTCAACGCGACTGCTCTGCTTCTTCAAAGCGATATCCGTTATGGCAAAGAGGGAAGTCCGGACGACGCTGACCGCCGAGGCTTGGATACCGCTCGGCCCCGTGGGCGTGGGCGGATACGTGGGCGCTGGTGGGCGTCCAGTGAACACGAGCGTGACCCTAGTGAAGGAAAAAGTTTCCAGAGCTGGTCCCCACAGAGCACCTTAATTGGTGCTAATTCATGCGAGCCCGCCCGCCCCGCCCCACCTTACCCCGTCCCACCTCACCCCGCCCGGGCCTTCGGTGCAACTACGTTGCCGGTCACGTGGCCGCCTGTCTGGCTTGGCACTTGGCTGCGCCTGCACCGGCCGGATTGTCTACGGGACAATGAATTCCAAAGCAGCGATGACTCGGGCAACGACTCGATGGTCATTGGCCCACGTGCAAGTGCAGGAAAACGAAACGACGAGACGGGTATTATGAACGTTTTTA